CGTAAGAAGCAGTCCTGCGAGGGCACGTGGGAGGTGAGCGCCTGTCGGGGAGAGGCGGAGGGGGCTCGTGGGGGTTGGGGTTGGGGTGGATGGCCATGTCCGGGGTGCATCTCTGCCTGGGTGCCGCAGGACGTGCTGCAGCTGGGTGCTGAGCCGTGCACGGAGCTGTACTACTGCCAGCTGGAAGCGCAGGCATGCTACATCTTCACGGAGCAGCTGGGGCGCTTCGCCCTGGTCGGGGAGTCCCTCAGCATGGCGGCCTCCAAGCGCCTCAAGCTGGTCCTGTTCGCGCCGGCCGCCTGCCCCTCACTGGAGTACAACATCCGCGTCTACTGCCTCAGTGACACCCAGGACGTCCTCAAGGTACCGGGATGGGGGGAGTCCCCATGCAACACCCCCCCCATCCCAGCTCGGGGTGATGCCGTGCGGGCAGGGCTGGGCTCCTGGGGCTCAGCAGCTCCTGCCTGACTGCTGTCTGTGCCGGCAGGAGGGGATGCAGCTGGAGAAGCAGCTGGGGGGGCAGCTGATTGGAGCCCCCCGGGTGCTGCACTTCAAGGACAGCTACCACAACCTGCGCCTCTCCATCCACGACATGCCCAGCTCCCTCTGGAAGAGCAAGCTCCTCGCCAGCTACCAGGTGAAGAGCCCAACCAGTGGGTGGGGATGAGGATGGAGGGGGTTGTCGCTGCCACCCTGACCCCCACCCACCCATCATCCTGCCACAGGAGATCCCCTTCTACCACATCTGGAGTGGGCTGCAGCCCTTCCTGCACTGCACCTTCACCCTGGAGCGCCTGAGCCCCAGCACCTGCGAGCTGGCCTGCAAGATCTGGGTCTGGCAGGTGGAGGGTGATGGGCAGAGCTTCACTGTCAACTTCAACATCGCCAAGGTGAGGGCCGGGCTGGGGGAGGTCCCAGGGGTGACCCTGGGATGAGCTCACATCCTCCCTGCCCCCCCATGCTCCCCCGTAGGACACGAGGTTTTCGGACTGGCTGGTCCCTGACAGCGAGGTGGGTGCCCCGGCCCTGGTGGGACCCAGTGCCTTCAAGATCCCCTTCCTCATCCGCCAGAAGATCATCAGCAGCCTGGACCCACCAGGCACCCGGGGAGCTGACTGGAGGACGCTGGCCCAGAAGCTCAACCTTGACAGGTGGCCTGGGATGGGGACGGCGCTGGGGACAGGGGTGGATGGGGACAGGGGCATTCTGGCCTCATCCTGCACCTTTGGATGGATGCTGGCACGCTGTGGGGGGACCCTGGGAGTGGGATGGTGCCCAAGGTGAAACCAGCACGGGGCTGGTCCCAGGCTGCAGAGCCATCCATGTGTGCTAACACAGTCCTTCTGTCCCCTCACCAGCCATCTTAGCTTCTTCGCCTCGAAGTCCAGCCCCACGGCCATGATCCTCAACCTGTGGGAAGCACGGCACTTCCCCAACGGCAACCTCTCGCAGCTGGCCGCCGCCGTGGCCGAGGTGGGCAAACAGGACGGTGCCCTCTTTGCCGTCTCCGAGGCCGAGTGCTGAGTGTGGCGACAGGAGGGGGCCCAAGCCCACTCCG